GGGGGGGCAATTGCCCCCCCCCCCCCCCCGTGAGTCCGCGCCTGTATTCGAATAACAGTATTGCTGTAGTTTCAATGGTTGAAACTTCGTACAGGACCACCGCGTACAGGCAAAACCGGACAAAACTGTCTACAGCGGAGCCGTATTCGTATACTGTACCGTGTAAAACCTGGGCTTTACGGTGGTTGCTCCAGCAACACTCACGCTAAAAGTGACGGCTTGGTTTCCAAGAAAAAGTGGTAATTTTCGAGCTAAAAGTGCTTGGAAATTACCACATTTACTTGGAAACCAAGCAGTCACTTTTAGCGTGCTGTACTCCGCGCTCTGTACGCTAGGTGCAGTGACTAAAAGCGACAACTAAGTAACGCTGTAGGTCATTCCGAATTAGACTCTAAATTTTTACAGTGTTTAAATGGTATGCAACGCGGAGGGATATATAGGCTGTCAAATTCCGTCCTGTGAAATTCACGTTTAGTTGCAATTTTTGCAGGTGCGGGCAACAGTTACGGCCGCCGAGAAGAAGTCCGCTTCCCTTTCCGCCGAGCTGGAAGAGGTAGAGGCTGAGGCGGAGTCGGCTCCACTGGGGTCCCCACAGCAGAGGCAGAGGCAGCGGGTATTAAATCAGGAAATGTATGCTATGCATATTTTTGAAACGAATGTTCTTCACACTACATAGTTTGGCCGGTATTTCCAGGACGCTCAGAGGATCCGCGGCGAGCTGCAGGAGGTGTCCTCAAAGGTGGAACGGGCACGAGCGAAGTTCTGCAGGGTAGAAGCATTGCTGCAGCGCGGTGGTGTGAATGTGGAGGCCGACACGATGGAGACCCTCGAGAGACGGTTGCTAAGCGACACCGACGGGCTTGTGCGGGGATTGGTTGGTCTTAGGGTTCAGTAGGAAAGAGATGTGAATTTGTGATACTGATAATAAAGGGACTTGTATTGTTGTATTTCTCTCTTTGGTTCTGCGAAAACCGGCGAAAACGAACCCCTTTCCTTTTGTTACCTCACCGAGTGCGGAGTAGAAAGTCGACGTCGAAATATCGAGAAGTCGTGGAGTGGGGGGACATCGTGCCGTTTTCTGACTATTTCGCCGTCTAATTGATGTTAAGGCAAATTCAGATTTAACAGCGTTCAGTGCAATCAAGTGCCTCAAATACGGACACTTTGCTGTTTTCTACTTTTAAAGCTCCTAAATCGAAAACGGGTATCCGGAATATAGCTTCCGGGGACTCGCTGGTAAAAGTAAGACTTTCTAGAATCTAGATTTGAGGAAATATTTACGAAATCTCGCACACTGTTCTCTCTCAAAAGAAAATGCCAAACTTGCGTTTTTTGGCGCCATGGAAACGGTCAACTTTTTAAAGCTTTGAGAGAATGTGGGGCTCTTAACGGTTAACGGCAGGTAGTCGTACAACTTTCGGGTTGACAAATGTGAAACTAGGAAACTTCACCTGTAAGATGAAACAAGAAAGTTTTGTTAATGTCACCACATGAAGTCACTTGTGTCAAGTTTGAGAAACAATTTCCGAAAGTCCCCAAAATATGGACATAGGAAAAAGTGACTCGTCTGGGTTTAAGACAATTTAAAACGCTTTAAAAGCGATCTTCAAGCAGTCCTAGTGGCCAAACAAGAAAATTTCGACGTGGTAGGTGTGTTTTGGTCTGAAGATTTACAGGGTTCATACCGGTCAGGGAAGTCAGGGAAAAGTCAGGGAAAACGATATTGTACTGGAAATCAGGGAAAAGTCAGGGAAATCTGGTAGAAAGTCAGGGAAAAATTAAGAAATATGGTAGTTTGGGTGATGAGCATGGCATCGTGAACGCATGGGCCAGTTTTAGCCATGACGCCTTAGTAAGTATGATTAATATCTTTCTTGACTTATCTTATAAAGCATTATTTTATATTTCTGCGAAATAATAGGTCGTTTTCGCCTAAATTTTACAAAATTCGCATTCTCTCTCAATTAAAAAATGTCAGGGAAAAACAGGATTTTTTCGACTGGAAATCAGGGAAAAGTCAGGGAAAATGAAACTTCAGATCCGGTATGAACCCTGATTTAATAATCCCCACCGTTTTCCAGTATTAAATCTACGGATTTCACAGGACCTTTTCTCTAAAAATCGTCCGAATTAGGAACAAATATCGTATTAGGGTTTTTGTTTAATTATTTACACCTGACCTACACTGTTAAACCTAGAGGCTCGTTTGCGAAAGGTGGTGTGAGGTAGGATAGGTAGAGGCTCTCAAAAACCTCTCGAACTGGGAGTAGCGACGGTCCAGCGGCGGCATCTACCTTCCCTACCTCACCCCACCTAGCTTACGGTGTCTCCCTCGCACTCGTCGCTGCCTGCTACGTCTGTCTCTGTCGCACTGCTAAACGAGCCTACAGATGCTCCTTTGCCAGCTGAGCTATCGTAGGCTCCGCTCGCCACGATACGAGCCGAGCGGAGCCTTTTCGCATGAGGCGGAGCGGCGTAGCAACGAGCATCGAGGCTCGCCCGCTGCAGGCCTCTGTTGGTTAGTCAGTGTACCTGTACCGACGTCGCAGGGGTTTGTACCGAGTTCCCCCCTGGTATATGGCTTCTGAGCGATAGCGACTCGTTGCGGCATCGAGTCGTCGAAGTTCACCAGAGCATCCGCCTCGTTAGACATTTGCATCCCTAGGGGTCAAATGAGGTGGAGGTTACTTATACCCTAGGGGTTTCTACTGGGCAGGGGTCCGTAACTTAACGCATTATCGTTATGCGTTAGTTATATAAATTCACGTCATGTAACACATTAGCGTTATGCGTTAGTTATATAACGTAACGTTTAACAATTTGCATTAAAAGTAAAAGTTATGGGTCGTCAAGTTATTCTGTTGCACTGCAAAAAATTAGAGTCTGATACGGAACGATCTACAGCGTTACTGTAGATGCCGCTCTTAGTCACTGCACCTAGGGTACAGAGCGCGGAGTACAGTGTTGCTGTAGCACCGGAAAGCCCAGGTTTTTACACGGTACAGTACAGTGTACGAATACGGCTCCACTGTAGACAGTTTTGTCCGGTGTTGCCTGTACAGTGGTCCTGTACGTAGCTCCCTGTTCCAGATTTTAACCATTAAAACTACAGCGATGCTGTTATTCGAGAAACAGACGTTCCTGGAAAATAATTAGCGGTCGATGCTGTAATTTTTCCTGTCATAATTTTTAGCAGTGTGCTAGTTGAAGCTTGTTCCGGCATTTTGAGTCTAACTCTTAAAGTTTCATGGTATGGTCACAAGTTATAAGTTATGACTCTTAACGCTTCATTCTATGGTCACAAGTTGTAAGTTGTAACTTCAACGGATAACGTACCGCTAAATGTTAAGTTACGGACCCCTGGTACTGGGGGGTACTTCACTTACGTCCCCGAAGTAATCTCATGAAAAAAGATCACAATGATAATTATAAATCAGAGGTACAAAAGTGAACTAAATTATATTTATAGCTGATTCAATTTTCGGTCTAATCCAACGACGAACAATAAGTTTTGGATATTTTACTCAGCTTTGCACATGGAGCTATAGTCTCTTGCCATAGCTACTCCCCTTTCGGCTATTTCATTTGTTACTTGCAAACTTTGCACCACTATTTTAGCTTTTTTTGTGTATCCCAAATTTGTTGACCAAGTTTTAGCCGGTGTGGAAAGAAATTACGTTAAAAAATCCATGTCATAAAACTGTATGGAGTCGGTTGTTATAAGGTCTGCCAAACCGGTTGTCTCTTCGATGTCAGCAGGACTATGCCGCCATCTAATGTTGTTTTTCGAGGGCTTCTTAGTCGTCTCTATTTGCGCTATTGCAATGTCTTCTTTTTCTTTAAATGACAACTGATCGTCGAAGATAGCCAAGGGTATTAAGCGATCAGATAAGTACCACAGCGCACCCTTTAACTTCTGGAAGGCAGCAGCAGCCTCCTGCTCAAGCAGTCCTTCCTGCAAAAAAGTGATCATTTTGAATATACGTAAGTAAAAAGCAGCGTAACTTAAAAGGAAAAGAAACAAGTTTTACCTTGCTCAACGCACGTAATTCGTGGAAGAGGTTCAAATCTTCTCTGGGAGAGATTGCTGCGATAGTTGCTGCACCAATCCAGCGTTTTATGTAGATATTAAAGCCGAAAATGCAAAGTTGGCGTAGACCTTTCTCTGGTAATTCCGTCAAAGGAAATTGCCCCCGGAACATCCATGCCTTTAATCCGTAAATAAGAAACATCATCCACCTCGCTTTGCTCAGCTTCTGGGGAGTGGAATGTAACTTCTTTTCCTGGCTTCTCTCCGGCAAATAGAAGTACTAGCTCGAGTAACTCTCGGTAATCGTCCCGAGGCTGGTACTCCTGTTGTAAAACAGTATACACTTTAAAAAATATTTGGGGTAATTTTACCACTTTGACCTGAAAACGCACCTGGCCTTAGCCTTGTATCAGAAAATTGCGCATCCACAGTATAGTGAAATTTAGCTATACATAGGATCAGCAAATTTCCTATTCCATTAGCAGTGTCTTTCTGTGTCCACAGTAGTAAAATTACCAAGCGTATTTATTACAACCTTTTCTGTATCCACAGTGGTAAAAATACTTCTTGCCGTAAAACAGTTCGAGCAAGCAGTCGGGAAGGACGAGGCGGCCAGTGCTCTGGCCCACAGCCCACTCCCGCCTGTTTGCTGTCTTATTTGGGGTGATTGGTGTCGGCAGCGGCCGGGAGTTGAAGCCCGGACCATGCGATCACCGCACCGCTGAGACACCACTTTTTTTTTTTTTCGAAAACATCTTTATTGTGTCAAAAATACAACAGGGTAAAATGCCATAACAAAGATAATGTTTGTTAGATGTTAAAAAATAGATAAATTGTGGTTATTAAGTTAAAGAACTTTTAAAAAAATCCTGTCATAATTTGTTTTTGATCTGGATGGACTCAGCGAGCGCTGCAATCCTATTGTCGCTACTCTGCGCCCTTGCGGACACTTGGCAGCTGTCTGCTGTTGGCAATACTCTGTGCCCCCTTGCTCTTCCAACCTGCCTGTCAATACTCTCTTCCCATACTGCTGTCTCTACTCCCTGCACCCCCCTCCTAGCGACTTGCTTTATATTTCATTTACCATTCAATTTCGATTTCAAAATAAGATTTTACACAAGTACAGTTCAAGTTCAAGAAATTTTCAAACCATTCATAACACTTAACAAATTAATTTCAAGATTTTTCTTTCTTCTTTTTCTGTCTTCTTGTTTGCACCCCACCCCCTTCTGGACTGTTTGATGCTCCTCTTTTCTTCTCGCTTGACTCTTTTAGAACTTTTGCAAAATTTATCAGATTCTTGCCAAAAACCTCTTGCTTGCCGTCGCCCCCTCCAGAACCTCTGCCTCTCCGCCTGCTGTCGTCTGCTCGCCCGCCGCTGGATCTTGTTGTAGGTG